TAAATGCCACACCACCTGTGGGGCTTGAACTCACAACCCTGAGATCAACAGTCACATGCTCCACCGCCTGAGCTAGGCAGATGCCCGTAGAAAAATATGGCATACCGTTTCCTCCAGGCCCACCACTTAAGGGTCTAGAGGGCCCACGCGTGTTCTAGGAGATCTAACCACAGCCCTTCTATGTTAACTCCTTTCTCATGCCCTCAAATAGGTCAGCCTGGCAGTGTGGACGAAGAGAAGCTGACCTTACTGGAGCAGAAGCTCTTCCGGGCCAAGGCCCAGATCAACAGCCAGCTGAGGCCCTTGATGGCGGAGCTGGAAGAGAGAGCCCGTCGGCAGCAGGGCCGCCTCCATGTGCTGGAGATGAGCATAGACGGGATTCTCGCCGACGTGAAGAACCTGGAGAACATCAGAGACAGCCTCCCTCCAGGCTGCTACAACACGCAGGCTCTCGAGCAACAGTGAATCTGCTGTAGAGACTGCTCGCGGAGGCTCTTGGGATACAGAACTCAAGAGCCACCTCCTGTGGCTGGGGTGGGATGGAGACCATTTGAGCACGTTGAATGGGCATGTTCAGGTCCACTGAACCCGACCCCATCCCCGAGAATTTGGCCAGATCAACGTCTTCTTTCACCAGTGTGATACTGCTGGTTTCCGGATGCTGGGCAGTGGGAAGATAGCACTGGGTATGAGACTGGCCAAGGGCCTGGACCCTGAAGGGTGGACTGGATGGAAGGACAAGCCACACGGCCAGGTGTTTGCCTCAAGAGAGTCTCAGACTGAGTCCTGGAGTACGGACCAGTGCTGCTGGGCTCTAGTGGGCTTATTCTTCAGGTAATGTGACCAGAGGAAAATTTGTTTTAACTTTGCCCACCCATACAATTCTTAATGTCTGAGCAGAGAGTGAAGCCCAGTCACACTGTGGCCAGTAAAATACTGTTGACTTATTTAAGTGTCCAGTGCAAGCTTCTTGTTGGCCAGAGTTCCTCCCACTTACCACCCAGTGTGTCAACATGTGTTCCACTTTCAAGCTGGAAGAAGTGAATAGTGATGGAGTGAGAATCTGTAAAGCTAGTCCATTTGGACCAATGGTGCCTGCTTGGGTCCTGCCACCTTTGAGTTCTTCTGGGACCTGGAAGTGACATCCTTTCTCCAATGATGCCATGACTCGTTAGAGACTACATTTTTATTAAAGCATTTCCGACCGCTAAACAAACACTGGGAAGGTACTTACTTTTGGGTTTCAAAGTGATAGAGAAATTCAACTTGGGCACTGAAAGAAGTACAATTATCTAGAAGAGTTACTGGTCCTAATTCAATCCCACTTTTCAAACACTAAAAATTGTATGTGTCTATGTGTTTTATTTTCTCACTCTCTCTCCCTATAGCAGAGAATGTTGCTATTCACACTGGAGCTGGGTAGACTCCATCCTCCTTCCATCCATCCTTCCATCCTTCCTTCCATCCATCCATCCATCCATCCATCCATCCATCCATCCATCCATCCTTCCATCCATCCTTCCATCCTTGCAACATGTATTTATTGAGTACCTGCTGTGTGTCAGGCTGGGGTACAGTGGTGACGTAGTCTCTGCCCTCACAGAGTTGATTGCCTAGTAATGAAGACGAACATTAAAAAACATAAATTTAAACGTACAACTCTTGTTCAATACAAGTGATTTTTATTGCAATAACTCCCTGGTTTGCAACCTCATTTCTCAACAGAACATATGTTGCAAGACACTCCCATGGGGGCAGTTGGGATTTGGCAAAGCCGGGATGGCTCTGGGTTGTGCACACTTCTTCTCATTCCGGCTGTCACTCCTCCCCTTGCCACACCTGATTGCAACAGACTGTTGAGTCATGACAATACCAATGGGAATTGCTGGAAAAAACAGAAATGATTCCATCCCGGGTTGGAAGATGTTGGTGTAGACTCACCTTTGTACTTTCTTGGCTTTTCGTGGTGTGTTTTTGAATAAAGAATAATTCTTAGATGCCTGTGGTCAGTTTCTCATTTGTCAAACTCTAAGGTGGAGGTACCAAAGCAATGGAAACTAAAATGCCGCAGAAACAGCAATGAGTCCTACCTAGAGTTCACATTTTCTGAACGTCTTGTTTTGCCCTTTCCAACCATTAAAGCCTCTATGAGAGTTAATTGGCTGTCTCCTAAGCATGAAGAAGGATTTATTTCTGGAACAACCTGAACAGGGTGGGGTTTTAATTAATATTTTTGTCTTTTTTTCTTTGGCTATGAAATTAAGGTGAAATCAGTAGTTTGTGGTACATTGTCATGTTTTTTAATAAATAAAAATCTAATAAATTAAGATCCTGAATTGGCCATCTAGCCAAGTGGCTGAGGAAAAGATTCCATTCCTGTCCACATTAACCCCACAAATTCTGAGAGGTCTGATCCCTTTGTTTTACCTTCTCTAGAAGTGAATTTATAATACTGTCTTGGCATACTAAATCATATATCCTATAAATCTCTCACCGTAATTAACGACTAGTGTCCAGGAAATATATATTTATTAATTAGGTTAGATTAACTGCTATGTTACATAGACCTAAAAATGTACATCACTCAAACACAATAGACATTTTTCTTGCTCTTGTAATAAATGGGGAGAAGGTTGGTAGGATGACCCTCCACATAGTCATTCCAGAACCCTTCCATTTACAACGTGTGACTTCAAAGGTTGCCCTGGGAAACATTTCCATTCCAATGAGTGAGAAGGGAAAAAGACATAGAAGTGGGAGACACCTGGAAAGTTTTCAGGGGCCAGGCCTGGGAGGGGATGCACGTCACTTTCTTTCACGTTCCATGATCCAGAACCCAGTTTTATGACCACATCTGACTTGCAAGGGGTCTGGGAGATATAGCCTCTTGGTAAGAAGCCATGTCTCAGGGGCAGTTTTACACTTTGAAAGGGGAGAATGCATTAGAATGCGTAACTAGTGATCGGCGTCTGTCTCTGCCAAGTATGAGATTAAGCAGTACATGTTCTAGGGAACTTGGTGTGGGATTCCATTAGTTAATACCATGCAATCATAAAGGGATTCCTCAATGGGATAAATTGTTAAGGAGGTAATAGACTGACTTCCCTGACAAATGGGAGATGATTTCTGAAAAGAGATGGGAATTGGAAAGTGACTCGTGTGACTCCCTTGGTATAGACATGATTCCCTCATTTCTGAGGACCTGACAAATTACCCCTAAGAAGAGAGAAGGGGTGTGTGGCTGAGAGCCTACTCAGGATTTGGCCTCTGTTGCCGGTCTGTCCTGACCCTGTCAAGTTAAGGGAGTTGTCCTCCCTGGTTCTCATCCATATTTCTAATTGGTAGTGAAAACTCTCTTGTACTTCTCCCCTGAGAGCTTTCTGATTAATTGTGCTGGTAAGTCATTATGCCTATTATCATCTACTTTGACTCACAGGGATTTCTGTTTGGGGGGAAGGGTAAGGGATGAAACTGCACATAGGCTATGACTTCTTAGCAGATGTATTTCTGATCTTATCCCAGGATGTGGTTTCTTGTCAGTAGTCTTGGGAGGCCAGAGGAAAGGGGAAGACGATACTCAGTAATGTCTAATGTTTGGAATGAGGCTCAAGGACTGGGATATATTTATCATGTCTTCTTTCAATGTTTTTGCAGGGTTATGGGAGCATTGTGGATTCTTGCTGTGGTTCAGTTTTGCCATCTGGAAAGTAGAGGTTAGATTTTTTTTTTCTGCTTCCTTTACACTATGGGCTACATGGAGCTTCCTAAGAAACTCCAAGACCTGAAGCTTACTTTTATGGGTCATAAGAGAAGAAATGTGTATGTACATGAATATTAATTCATAGTTAGTACATATATTTTATAAGTTAATGTAAGTTGGCAAACTAAACCAGTGTTTATGCCCAATTTTAAACAAGTTTTTAACATTACATACTCTCAGGACAGAGGAAAAAATTGTTTAGGTTTGTGGCCAATATAGCAAACATAAACACAAGTAATCAATTTACAAGGCATATCAAGCATCATTACGGTGGGCCACCAAACCCAGATGGACACGCACGAAGCTAACTAATTCCAATCTTAAACAATAACAACAAAATACATAGTAAGAACCAAAATGATTTTTTTTTAAAGCACAACTAATCTGACAATCAAGTGACTAAGCCCTAAATGAGGGGTCTACAGGGGAATTGCTATTTTTACCATCTGAATCGCGACTGATACTAGCTAACGACAATCACCATTTGGATCTATACCAGCACACAATGCATGTCACAACTACAAATGAGATAAGAACTAATAAAGCAGAACTGAGCAATTAACAAATTATTCTTTTTTTTTTTTGCTTGTTTACACTGTCAAAATGGTGAGTTTAATGATTTTTCTTATTTAGGATCTTTTATACCAAAAGTGAGTTATACAAGTTTAGTTTTTGCAAGTACATTTTTGTTTCATAAAGAATTAATTTCATTAGGGAGCCAAAGCAATCAATAAGAAACAGAAGATTAGATAGGTTCTAAGACTCAATTTTTTTTTCATTGAAAACTCAGGTGCAGTTCACAAGTTTGCTAATTATCCTTCCCTGCCTACAACCCTTGGGTGTGGCTGTATATGCTTTCATATCGCACATGTGGCATCAGATAAGCCAGGCAGAAAATCTGCTCTAAGAACAGTTTTGCAACTGTTGGCTCCCGTCAAGTAAGACTATGGCAAAAAAGGTGACTAATTCTGCAACTCGCAGAGAAGATTCTGGACAAAAACACAAGACTAGTAGCATTGTCTTATTTATTAATGTAATTCAAACATTTTGCTGATAAAACTTTTGTCCATGACTATCCTAGCAACAAAATTTTACTCAAAATATTTCACTATGAAATGGTGTTGCAACTTCAGTGTAGTTTTTATGAATGGAGTGATTTTCATAAAGCAAATCTTACTCTTAAAATGGCAGATTCAGTGACCAAGTGATTTAAAAAAAAAAAAAAAAAGCTTCCCCCTCCCCATGCTAATCCATGAGACCGTTTGGATCAAACTGAGTTTTGGACCTGGGCTAGACTGAAGGGAAAGAGAGTAGCTCATTCCTAAGTACCCAGAACAGGCGAATAGGATACCCCAAACTGACACAACCAAGAAAGGCCGTGAAGAATTACATTCACCCAGCAGCTCTAGGAAGGTGTAGACTGGATGAATCTGACCGAAAGTGTGTGCTCCTTTACCACAGTGCTATTCCTCGGGTGTCCTAATTGCAGGAGCTACAAAATCAGTCCCTGTTTCTATCTTCCCCCATCTCACCTGTCGGCCTTCCTGCAGTAGCCTTGGGAGAGATCCTGAGCTTTTCGTAGTCTATGGATTTAGTTTTGCGTCACTCTTTTGATGAATGGAATATAATAACGTGCTTCTCTCTCTTAGTCCCCTAAAGTGTGTGTTTATGTCAGTTTGGGAGAGGAGATTGGGTTGTTAAAATACAGTCATGTCTTCCTATAATTCTCTGCCTTTTGCTGCAGTTTGATGACTGAGTCTCACTTTCTACTTAATTAGAACAGCGAGTTCTTCTATTTTTTCTGAGAAGCTGAAGCATGAGACCAGAGAATGCTGGGGAAGGTTCGCCACGGGGAGGTGGGAAGAAGAGCGTCTCTAGAAGCTCTAGCTCTGGGTTTCAGGCACTTCAATAAGAGACTTTCCTCCCCTGTTCCTATGTACATTCAAGGAAAATGAAAGCAAGAAGGACCCAGAGACTGCCTGGGGGAGGGGTTGGTGAATGAGGTACCAGGTAGCAGCACAGAGCTCCCCAGAGGGCCACTCCTTGAGGAGAGTCACCGGCACAAAGGGTTTCCCTCCTGCCTGTTCTTACCCATATCAGACACTTTCTGCAGAACGGGAGAGATGTTTTTCACTGGTAGGCAGGAAATGAGGCTCCTGACCCCTCTTAACATGATCATTGCAGCCCATGCCTTTCTCCCCATCTCAGAGCCATCCTAGCCTTGAGTTGGCCTTTGGAGGAAGAAGGGGGACCCCAAAGGGGAAATCCGGGCCTAGAGGGCATCCTCATGGCACCTGGGGCCCTACTTCAGACTCTGAATCTTTCTGGTGCTATCCTTTGCAGGATCACAGCCACAGTGTCCTGCCCTGGACTGAGGGGGCTTCTGACCTCCCCCTAGCAAATGACGAATGGCACAGTTTGGGGAATGGATAATTCTACCCAAAAGGAAATTCACTTTTTCTTGGATTTAAGGAAAGCTATTTTAATACAATCCCTGTGATCCACCAAGGTAAGATCTGCCCCCTTTCATTCCAGACATCCTCTAATGCCCCTGTTCTTTTTCTTCCTGTGCACCGTCCCACCCCACACCAGCCATGCACAGTCAGTCCCACAGGTTCCCTCTCATGGGCTGTGGACTAAAGGAGGCCTGACCACAGAGCCCATAAGAATAATGGGGTGCATCAGACAAAAGATGTTTGGTTTCTCTGTTCTGCTCATGTAGATCCTCATAATAAACCATAGATAAACTTCACATCCTTGAAAATGTTTTCTTTTCTTGGCTTAGGGCTGTTTTGCCCCAAAGACTCTTCTCTTTCTCTCTCTCTTCAGTGTCATCTTGAGCATTTGAGGTCTTTCCTAGCTTCCATAGAGCATCTTTTCTTGGATTCAGAGGGTCACTATTTTGGGATTTCCTCTAAACTGCTGAGATCTCTTGATTTCTGAGCTATAACCTTCCTCCCCATCACATCCCTCATCCCTCGTTCCTCATCCCTCAAGACTGGCATACGCTATGCCATATAGAGGAGCACCTGGGTGAGACACGATTTAAGAGAAAGATGCCTGGTAAAGGCTGAAAAGAGTAGAAACCACACATTACCTGGTCAGTATCATGGGGAACTGGGGGGACAGAGATACCACAGAGATGTGGTACAAAGTCCTAAGGGTCAGGGAAACAGTATCCTTTTGCCAGGCTCTACATTTGCTATATAAACTTGGACCAGTCATTTAATCCAGCGGATCTCTGCTCCCTCATCTTTTAAAGGAGAATGTTGAATCAACTAATCTCTGAAAGTTTTATTATTTTTTTTTTTTTTCATTTAGCTTCCATGGTCCTTAACCAAACACTGAGACCCAAGAATAGGTTCTTCATTCCCTCCTCTGGAGATTATTTCCAAAATCCAAAAGGAATAATACCTTCCTGGATGCTACCTGAACATGTTGTTCTGTTGCATCCAGTTCCTTTCCCTGGAGGCTATGAAGACTGTCACGGACGTGAAATGGGTACTGAAGAATGGTGTCCCTGATGTCAGGTCTCAGCTCACCCCTCCGGGGCCGTAACTGGTACTAGATTTTGATTAAAGCATCCTATTGCTTCATTCCATGAAGACAACCAAAAGCCCAAGAGCCAGGGACTAGATGAAAGAGAGCACAAGAGGATAATTTCCTTTTGGCTCTCAAAACAGGGCATGAGCGAGACCTGAACAACTAGAACAGTCTGTCAGAACGTTTTGCAGGAGCAGCAGAGGAAGGTAAGAAATTAGAAAAAGGATGAAACCATCTAGTGGCTCTTAATGCCCTCTCCCCCATGATCTCTGCTGTGAACCCACTTCCCTGTCAGACATATTTCCTCAGGCAGTGACTGTGGTTCTGGGCTCTGCAGGAGATATGACCAGCTCCAGAAACAAGGCCGAGGTACTGCGTCTCAAGAAGAAACTGACCTTGGGCACCGCCTGGGTCACTGCAGGAAGAGAAGGGGAGAACCATCAATTCCCTTCAGAGCAACAATTCCCTCTCTCTCCTTGGTCATCCTGGACTTGCATCATGACAGAAAAATTTCCCAGCCAAACAGGCAAGAAATAATTCCAATTAGCAAAGATCTCTAGGGTTGAGTGAATTCCTAGCATATTTTATTTTTGAAATGCCTGCATTAGTAGGATTTGGCCTTGAATAGGTGATTCTTCTCAGAGGCAGGAACGTGGCTAGGTAGGACCTCCAAGGGCTTAGTGGTGACCTGAAGGATTCTTGGGAACACTGGGCTGGCAGGGAACCCACTCTGCCATCAGTCACAGCCCAAAAGAGGAACCGGACAGATGCCACCTGGATATAGGGATGGACCGGCTCTGTGTGATCACAGGGGCAGAGCATCAGGACAATGGTCTTCTGAAACTAAGGAAATGGACACAAATTCTTCTGAGAAACCCTACTATTCCCAGACCTGCCTCCCAGGTTTTGGAAACTGAAAGCCTCGGTCCTGAGCCTAGTCAGAAGCTGCTGTGTATGGGGGTGTGTGGGGCATGAGTGGGCACGTGGGGGGTGTCGGGAAGGTGGAGGTGGCTTGGCCTTCTTTACCAGGTGCGGCTCTCACGCTGAGGCTGGCTATGGTGTCCCATCCAAAGGGAAGTTACCACCACAGGAAGGCATCAAGACTACAATCATAAAGAACCACGGACACGGATTTCATCCAAATTCTATGAGGAGTGAACAACAACAACAAGAACAACAAAACAAAACAAAACAAAAAACAAGAGAAGAAAGGAAAAGAAAGAAAAGAAAGAACAAAATAGCCCTTCGTGGTAAAGGGCATGCTGGGAAGGCGAGAGCCAGAGCCGCCTCCCCAGAGCATGCTGGGAGGACGGGCACCGGAGCCGCTCTCTAGAGCATGCTGGGAGACAGACACCAGCACGTCTCCAGGGACTGCACTACCCGCCACTACCACCCCTATTCCCTCACCCACCCCCAACCCGGAGACGAGAGGAGAGTCTGTCCAAAGATGACCGCTGAGTAGGGTGTGCGGTGGTTCACTGCAGGTCCCCCACACTCTGGAGGGTTGAGTCAGCAAGTGGGGGGAACAGTCAAGATGAGGAGATGGAGAAACAGAGAGGCAGGAGAAGAACGGGGGGACTGACAGAGACTGGAGGGGCCAGTGTGTTGCCGGAGGACGAGGGGAGAGTGGAGCGGAGCGCCGGGGGGCTGCTAGCCCGAGGTGTTGATGTACAGCTGGCTCTTGAGAATGTAGTCGATGACCGGCTGGGACAGGTAATCCACCACGTGGCCGTCCCCGTGCTGCAGGGCCAGCCTGGATGAGAAGACACGGGATTCAGAGGACGCCTTCCCTGACAAAGGCGGAAGGACGCGCCTGCCCACTCTCCCAGGGAAGGGGTTTGCCTGACACCCCAGTCTCTGCCTTTGCTTAGGCTCCATGAATGGTTTCCCTCTTGGGACAAAGCTCACCTGCCCCAGAATTCCTCCCCACCCTGGGGACTCCCTACCATCCTGGCTCTGCCATTTCCCAGCAGAGGGACCTTAGGCAAGTTACTTAAGCCCATCGGTTCTTCAGTTTCCTCCTCTGTAAAAATGAGGCAAATATTTGGGCCCACCTCCTTCAGCTATTAAAAGGATTTAAAAAATTGGGGCGCCTGGGTGGCTCAGTGGGTTAAAGCCTCTGCCTTCCTCAGGTCATGATCCCAGGGTTCTGGGATCGAGCCCCGCATCAGGCTCTCTGCAGGGAGCCTGCTTCCTCCTCTCTCTCTCTCTGCCTGCCTCTCTGCCTACTTGTGATCTCTGTCTGTCAAATAAATAAATAAAATATTTAAAAATAAAAAAAATAAAATAAATAAAAATAAAAATAGGGGTGCCTGGGTGGCTCAGTGGGTTAAAGCCTCTGCCTTCAGCTCGGGTCATGATCCCAGGGTCCTGGGATCGAGCCCCACATCGGGGCTCTCTGCTCTGCAGGAAGCCTGCTTCCTCCTCTCTCTCTCTCTCTGCCTGCCTCTCTGCCTACTTGTGATCTCTGTCTGTCAAATAAATAAAAAAAATCTTAAAAAAAAAATAAAAATAAAAATAAAAGGCTTAAAGGAGTCATGCAAAGCCTTTGGAATAGCCCAAGCACACAGCAGGTGTTTGAATGTGTTGACTGTTGTCTTATTCCTTCGTGTTTCTCCGCATCATGGTCTCACAAGGAATCTCCTGATGGACCACTTTTCCCTCCTGGGAGCTCTGACAGAGAAGAAGGTGACCTCCTCTGAGGCAGGGAGGAAGGAGGAAGGCACTACCAGGTACAAAAGGTTTCAGTGAGGCACTTGGTTTCTTCACAGTTGTGTGCACCAGCCTTGGCCAGGCTGCTTCCCATTCTCTGCTCATATGATGGTCTTGGGAATGTCAGGCCCCAAGGAACTATTTGTAAAAACTGTACCTACTCCTCCAGAAATACAGATTCTGAAAGGCAGTGAGCCCTGCCCTGTGAGACCCCCTCAGAGGCTGGCTCACGGCCTCTTTGGTCTGTCCTGATCTTCCAAGCAAGCCAGGTCCCTACGCGCCTCCCTGCATGGTTCACAGGGAGACTACTGGAAAAAGTGGCCTGTATTCTTGGTTCCCAAGTGCCAATCCTAACTTGATCAGAATCCCCCAGAGGGGCGCCTGGGTGGCTCAGTGGGTTAAAGCCTCTGCCTTCGGCTCAGGTCATGATCCTGGGGTGCTGGGATCGAGTCCCACATTGGGCTCTTTGCTCAGCAGGGAGCCTGCTTCCTCCTCTCTCTCTGCCTGCCTCTCTGCCTACTTGTGATCCCTGTCTGTCAAATAAATAAATAAATCTTAAAAAAAAAAAAAAGAATCCCCCAGAAAGCCAATCCCTTGGCTCATCCACCACAGATTCTGATTCAGTGGGACTGAAGGGGACACAGGAATTTGTGTGCTTGTGTAAGTTTGTGGGGTAATTTTATCACGCAGCCATGTTTGGAACCAAATCCTTCCCTTCTCCCCTCGGTGGCCCCTGTCAGTTGGGCTTTAGCTCTCGCCTCACAGTTTGATGCTCCTCTTTGAGTTGTCTACAGAATCACCTTCCAGCGAGGAAGTCCAGCAGACCTTTAAAAATGCTGGGCCCACTTGATTTCTCGGAAATACGTGACAGAGACAAGGCTCTCCATCTTTGCACCCTCTCCCGCCTTGGTTCTTGGGCCAGCGCCGCTGCTGGTCTGACGGCTCCTGAGCCTTCTAAATGCTTCTCTTCTCAGGGACTCTCCCTGGGAGATCAGCCATACTCTTAATGTAGTTTACACTTCTGTGCTCATGGCTTTCAGTTCCATTTCCACTCCCAGACCTCCATATTCATAGATCTCCCCGTTCCACCAGACGTCTCCACTTGGAGTTGGTGGCGGAGACTGTCACCTGGCCCTCAGCATCCATTCTCTGTTCTTCTGTTCAGTAATAGAACCTCCCGAGTTTAAGCTGGGCACATCAAGTCCGTTTGTTGGCCTCCCTTGAAGCAAGGTATGGCTGCACGACTGGGGCTGAGCCCGAGGGCACAGGGGGAACTGATATGTGCAACGCTGAGCCACCTTTTTAAGGACAAAGCTCCTGCCCTTTCCAGCGGCCCCAGCAGCAGCTGTGGACCCACAGATAGAAGCTTCACGTGGAAGAGGTCAGAGATTCAATCTCTTTTGACTTCAGTAAGAGGGAAATAAACACATCTTTTATTGAAACCATGACTATTGGGGCTCTTTTTGTTAGGATAGCTTAGCCTATATGCTCATTCATACAGTATTTCATAAACATCTCGAACTAAAGAGTCTCAAACTAAAAACATCCTCTTCCTCCCACGAACCAGCTAAAACCAGCTAACAACCCCCCTCCCACCCTTAAAAGAAAACGACTGAGGGGGCGTCTGGGTGGCTCAGCTGAATGTCTGACTCTTGATTTTGGCTCAGAGCCCGATCTCAGGGTTGTGAGATCGAGCCCCATGTCGGGCTCTGTGCTGGGTGTGAAGCCTGCTTCAGATTTTCTCTCTCCTGGGGCGCCTGGGGGGCTCAGTTAAGCGTCTGCCTTCGACTCAGGTCATGAGCCCAGGTCCTTGGATTAAGTCCCACATTGGACTAAGGAGCAGGGAGCCTGCTGCTCGCCCTGCTTGGGCTCTCTCTCTGACAAATAAATAAAACCTAAGGGGAAAAAAAGATTCTCTCTCTCTCTCCCTCTGTCCCCCAACTCTTAAAAAAAAAAAAAGTAAATGACTGGGGACAAATACGCGAGGTCCCCAAAGAGGGCTGAATACCAGGCAGCAGGGTCAGCAGACGTACGGGTCCTCTTGAACCGCGGAAAGTTGTATTAACGCTTGTTGGCCCATTTGACCAAGGCCCCTCTGGTTGTGCGTCAAACGTACCTGCTCTTAGTTGAGCTGACGACAGACATGGGATGGTTGATGTCATCCTTCACCACCATAATGTTGTTCTGGGGACAGAGCAGAGGAAGCAGGTTGCCCACCCCTCCCCCTTAAAGTCCTCAGGCGCCCTTCTTCCTCCTGCCCCCTCCCCTCCCCTCCCCTGCAGCAGGCCCCTCGGTGAAGGAGCAGGCCACAGAGCTAGGGCCGCGAGGAGATGAAGAACTCACTTTGTATTTGCGGAGTATTGAGGAGTGATTCATGATTCGGTCTGTGTCCGCTGCGTCCCGGGGCACCACCACGATCCCGAAGTCCCCAACGATCACCTCCATCTGCAAACACAGAGAGCGACCTTTGGTGAGACCATGCCTCCAGCTACTTAGCAGGTGGACTGGTCTGCCCTGTGGAAGGCCACACTCTGGTCCTAAGCTTGCCTGCTCAGCCCTACCAGTCAGCTCTTTCGGGTAACAACCTGTCACCGCGTCAGTGGAATGAGTGGGGACTTCGCCTGCCACCACAGAAGACGGTTCACAGATACCTCTGGACGGAAGGAACAAACGTGCTCCTGCGTGTCTGGGCGAGATCGCCAATTCCTGAGGCTCCGGCTGGTTCCACTGTGCCGAAGAACAAGAATGACACACGGTCCTCATGTGGCAGACACCCTCCCAGGTGACACGGGTCCCGCTGCCCAGCAGGTGTACCCCAGCGCCCAGCCGGCCGCCTGAGGAGGACTGGATGCTCCCCGGCTCAGCCATGTCAGAGCTGCTGGGGACTCAAGAGTGACAAAGAGCAAGGAAGGGCCTGGAACACCCGTGTGCCCACAGGCAGTGACTGGAAGAGGACTATGGGGTCACTTCTGAGATCAGCCTCTGAACCATGTTTGCTGCCCTAATCAGAAATGAAACCTTTTCATAAAGAAAAAATTATTTTTTTCTGGTTATACAGAGAGTACAAGCTTGGGAAATTCAGGGGGAAAAAAATCAATCACGATCATACAATCCAGATAAACTACTCTTAACGTGGTGCGTTCTGTCCACAGTTTCCTTCTCTACAAATAAGCATATATAACTACAAGTGGGTTACACTGAAAAAGTAACCATTTTATCTGTATTTTTTATTTAGCATTTTTTATTAGCACTTATTTAGCATTTTTGTAACAGTCTGATTATTTCATTGTACTATGATATATATATGATATATTAAACCAGTCTTATAGAATGTGTACAGTTACTTCTGATTTTTTGCAAGTATACATAACACTTTGTTGAAGATCTTTATGTATATATATATATATATATATATATATATACATATATATATATAGACATATATATATATATGTCTATATATATATATATATAGACATATATATATATATCTTTTGCCATATCTTTAACTATTTCCTTAGGATAAGAAGTAAAATAATTAGATGAAACGATATACACTGCATGGATTTCAAAGTCTTAAGGCTTATTACCAAGTTGCTTTCTGGAAACTCGTGCCAATTTTTATTTTCAAAAAGCCTGAAAGTTATGGCATTTAATAGACTTGGATCTCTCCCAGGCACATTGCTGTTTAGATCTTGCCAATTAAGGATCCCAGATGGGGAGAGAAGGGAGGGGGAGACAGGTTACTTCTAAGCGGGGAAGCTCATTGTGCAAGACCTGCTCCAGTGGCAAGGGACCCAGGTTTTTCCTCTAATAATTGCCACAAAAACAGACATTAGGGAGCACTGGGGCCCCTTCTTCTGTATCAGACAATTTCGATATGAACAGAATCCCACTTCTCAGCCTCATTCATTGATTCTGTTCGCATACGTCTGTGTGTGCTCAGGCACGTGTACACATGCCCTTGGGTGTTTCCAGCCACCTTTCCCCTACTTCTGCCACTGCTTACAACCGGGGCTAGAGCGGCAGCGGGAGCGTTGCTGTTGCCAACACAGAAAGCTGGTGGAAGGTGCCCTAGGAGGGAAGCTGCGGAGAGAAGTTGGAAGCTACGTAGAGAATATCAGAGTCCCCATCGGATCGTGTCATTTGTTAGGGACACAGCATTACAGCAGCTGTCAGTCGTGCTCGGCTGGGGCAAACCGGCGCCAAGCACTTGTCCTGGAAACCAGGAATGTCAGGGAGAGGCAGGGCCAGGCGCTGGAGGTAGACCCAGCTCCTCCCTCCACAGCTTTGAAGTATTGCGCTGGAACCCACAGCTCAGAAGGTCACCAAGGCACTGGTTCCCGAACCTGGGGGAGTATTAGAATCCCCTGAGGAGCTTTCAACACGCTCAAAGCCCAGCTCACACCCAAGAACAGTGACATGAGAATCTCTGAGAGTGGGACCCAGCAGCAATAGTTTTGTTTTTTGTTTTTTAATTTCCCAGGAGATTCCAGTATGCAACCAGCTTGAGGACCCGGGGTCTAAGCGCTGCTTAAAACTCCAGGGGAAGTGGTGGGGTGCAGAAACAGAAATGAAAAGGGAGAAGAGAGGGGGAAGTGAGAGGGGAGGGAGAAGGAGACGAGGGGAGGGAATCTATCCAAGCTGGTAGACACGAACATTCCTCAACTGCCTGTCTCGCCAGAAGACTCAAGATGCCTGGTGCACGTGGCCTCATGCAGGGTCTGCCTTTGGTTTGATTCCAAGAACTGGGCAGATGTTCCGCAAGCGATGAATGAAATACGGAGGCTAGTTAAAGGGAGCCTTCTCGTTGAAAGCATGCAAACAATGGTTCAGACTGGAGTCCGGCCTCCCCAGGGAAGTCACCCTATGGGTGACATGAGTGCGGCTGCTGCTTCCCACGCAGGAACGAATGATCTGATCATTCAATCAATAACAGTTCCAGGGGGCTCAGTGGGTGGCAAGCAGAGGGAGACCTTGCTGCCTACCTAAGATGTTTTCTTTTTCCAGAAACAGGCGACAGGCTTGCCCCCTGGGAATCGCAGATGGAGCGAGGGGGAGAGGGTCTACGGGACAAGACATAGAGCTTAACCGCATCCGAGCTGCACGTCTGCGGGAGTTTGGGTTGGGGACAGCAGATCTTTTCTGCTCCTTTGCCTAGATCCTAGGACACCGGACTTGATTTCCATGCTAGAAGGTATTTGGGTGTGGGTGTGTGTCTGGGGGTGGGGAGAGATGCCATGTGCTGGAGTTGGTAAGGCGTGCCCTTGGTCCCATAGGTATCCGTCTCACGCAGGGACTTAGCTGTCCTTCCCACTCCCCCCGAAACCCCATCTCCTGTCTTCACCTGGCCCCCAGGAGACCAGTGTCTCCTGGCTTCCTCCTATCTCAGCCTGTGCAATTTTTGCTGTCCTTGTGCTGCTTCTTTCTCATGTCCCTAACCTTGTGCCATCGGAGTCCCCCTCACCCCCCACCCTCAGTCCTTGGACCCCTGGGGTGAGCAGATTCCACGCTGAGCACGGAGCCAGACTCGGGGCTCAATGTTACGTCCCTGAGATCACGGCCTGAGCTGAAACCAAGAGTCAGAACCTTAACTGAACGAGCCATCCAGGCGCCCCTCTGTGAGACCTTAAGCCACCGATCTGTAGCAACAGAAGATGAATTCATGCCCATCACCTCCCACTTAGATCGCCCTGGTCTCCTTGTTTTTCTCTTGCCCTTTTCAGTCTATTCCCAAGAGCCAGACTGATAATATTAAAATAGATTGTGTTACTCCTGGTTCAAAAGTCTTCACTTAAATGTCACCTTCTCAGTGAGACCAAGCTATTTCAAGTTGAGGGGCCGGGCACGCAGACCCATTCGCGATCCACACCTGCACAGCCCCTGCCCCTTCCTGGGTTTTACGCTCCTCCTTAGCCTTCATGTCTGTCCAATACCTTATATATTTTCTTTGTCCAGCCTGACTTTTGTCTGTTTCTCTCTCTGCTATAAAGGTAACCTCCATGAAGGCAGGGAGCTTTGTGTGTTTTGTTCACCACTCTGTCCCCAGGGGACAAGGACCTGGTGGCTCATACATGCTTAATCGGTGCTGTTGACAAAGGAGATCCCTTCCGAGTCTCATCTGGCAGCTGTCGTTGAGGCATTAGCTGATACACTCTCCCTGTCTCGGGACCTGGCGACGAGCCCACAGGACCTCATGGGAGCTCTGGGAGGCCCAAAGACCTTACTCAAAAGATAGACTCTCAGGTCCCATGACGAGTAAGGGGGAAGCTTCCTTTGGCAGGTTCCCAGATTTGATCCAATTGGTGAGTGGAAGCACCTGGGGCAACTTTAAAACCAGCCACAAAAGGAGAGCCCCCAGGCCTCCCCCCGAGGGATTTTGATCCGACATGTCTAGGATGGGCTGGAGCCTCTCTCTTTACAAAGCTCCCTAATCCTTCTGCTGGGCACCAGCCTCTGGGGAATTGTTGCTTTCAATCACATGGGCAGTTGCCTAAGCTGCTAATTCTCTGGCTTGGTTTGGGATGAGGTCAAAATGAGATACTCGTAAGACAAGCCCCTTGGAGGATTCCAGCAAAAACAAGGACAAGGATGTCACCCTGTGCCCTGGGGAGTGGGGGGGTAGGGCACCGGGATGGACATGTGACCCATGTGACCCCGGGGAATAGGGCGTTGGGGTGGACATGTGACCCCGGGAAACAGAGGGTTACTCAGGCTCTCCCTGCCCATAGAGCCTGCAGGAGTGCACCCAGGCCCCTGGGACAGAGCTGTTATTCCGGCATGAGGGGGCCCTCCTCTCCTGCGTGTTCATGAAGAGTTCTCCGCAGGTCCTGCCTCAGAGGTGGGGAGGTAGGTGAGTAGCCAAGGTAGCAAAGCTGTTCCACTTGGTAAGTCCTTTTCCTGATGCTGACCAATATGAACCCATACTGCTCTGCCACAATTAGCGAGATCAGAGTAGAGTTCCCCAACCCCTGCCCCCGCCGCTGCCCAGCATACACTGGCCCTCTCAGTTGAGCTCTGGCAGGTCATGCCTGGGGTGGGGGTCTGTGACATTCATCCTGTTTCAGCTTCCTGCTCACAGGCACCGTGTTTTGATCATATCTTTTCATCCTCTGGTCAAAAGCTCCCCAGGGGAGGCAGGGGTGGGGATGGGAAGAGGAAGAGGGAGGCGGTGGACTCTGCTTCCCCAAATGTGGGGAATCTGAAGGAAGGATATGAGACATGTTGAGGGAGGAAGCAAACTGGCCTTGAGAGAGAGAACACTCATGAGGACCCAGGCGGCAGATCTGGAGGGAACAGGAAGTTATCACCATCTTTCCAGGAGGCTGAATTTCAAGAACTGCACTGTGGGACTTGCAGGATGCTCAGGGCTGGGGATGTCCTGTGCTCTTAGCCAGGTACTTTCCTGGGCACCAGGGACAGAGGGTTGAGCAAGACAGACGCGC